CTGCAAAATGGTACGTTGGTGTAAATAAAAAAATCATAATCTACAGGAAACATCCTTATTAGTGTATGAAAAAAAATAATTTACTAAATAAAATGAAATTTAAAAAAAATATTAATCCTCTTTCAAGCCATACGAGTTATGTTTGTTACACCCCACCCCCCCCCCCCCCCAACCTTCTAGAAGGCGATACTTATGCAACTTCATGTGACTTTAAATTTTGCTTTTGTTGAATATAAAAAAGAAAGAAAATTATAATTTAGGGATACATGCTTATTTATTTTTGTCTAAAAAGGATAATTTAGGAATTAAATTTGTAATCAGTGTTGTGGTGAAACCTGGAAGATGAGTTTAGCTGGATGTCAGTTGAGTGATTAAATACAGTTGATGTGGTCAGAACTAATTAATTTTAAAGGTGTGTTAAACACACGGCGCCCCAGCCCCTCCGCCTGTGACCCAATATTTTTTTTAAACAGGTGTGAACTATGAACTGACCATAAGAATGTTTCAAATTACAGGAGAAATTCTTCCTGCGTAAACAGACTTTCAGGGTCACCTAGCGTCATACCATTTTGATTGACAGGTGATCCCCGAGGATTTCATGCGTGCAACATTTATGTACAGAAAACGGATTATTCAATGCACAATAGTTAGGTCTTTCCACCTTTCTGTGGAAAGACCTATTGATATTCTTCTGTTTATTATTACTGTATAGGGGATTAATTTCACGGGTTTTAATTTTCACGTTTTTCTCTCATCTGACACGATCGCGGTTTCTTGAATTCGCGGAATTTGGTATGTTATAAAAGTTACTTCCCTTGTCTGCATTTAATCCATACCATAGCTACATGTAAACGACATTAATCAGCGTTATGTCTTTATTTCATGAACAACACGGTAAGTTATTATAAAATAGTTAGATTTCATTAATAATTAATTAACACAAGTGCAGTTATTGATAGTCCCTAAACGTTAAATGACTTTACTATATGCTATTACGATGAGTGCATGTGCACCCGAGATCTTCAATACAACGCGGTGAAAAACCACTGAACGGAAATAAAACTTTTTATGTAGTTCTACGAAATAATATTCTTCCACACTTCCTTCGTCAGTAAGTTCGATATTTGAATGATGTTTTAAAACAAAATGTCGATAAAAACTACATGAACTAATATGCATGAGAATGCAGGTAACAAATACACGTGTATCCTCAATGAAAAAATGTTTTTATTAGTACTAACATTAGTTACGCACGGGTAATCAAAACCAATGGCCCACGTGTTTTGATTGATGAAACATGCAGCGTTGGCTATTAAAACAGCTTTTGACCAAACAAAAATTATTATCTGCCGATTTGAATTAAAGTAAAGCGAGATAATTAAAATTAATTGAATGTCAGTACTACTCGCAATTACTGAAATGACCATGGACTGCACGTACACCTATATAAATCTATCGTGGTCTACTCTCAAATTTCCAAATAAAACATGGAGATTATTGAAAATTTATTCACTGTTTCTTGAATTCACGGATTTGTTAACACCGTGAATATAGCGAATATTAACACCGCGAGTTATTTTCCCCCTATACAGTATTCTTTTTTTTTTATTATTTTTCCGCCGCATGTTTTTGAGTTTCAAGATTTATCGAAAAGATTTATAGACCAAAAGAATGTACTTCGTAAATGATTTTCGCAGTTGACCCTGCGTATATGAACCTTGACGTCTCAAGGAGTTATGACCCCTTTCGCAATAAATGTTTGTTATCGCTTCTTCTCCGAAACCAAAAAAAGTAGAGGCACAAAACCTTTATTAATGTCTACGACTAATTTAGTAGATGCTTCAATCTGTCTTTTCGAAAGAATTCGTAAACTCCTATTATGAATTATTGCCCCTGAATGTTTGCGATGTTTATGAATGTCAAGATCTTTTCTTAAACGACAAGTCGTAGAGACATGGGACCAACTGCAAAAGGTTCATTGACCCTTGACCTTGAAATTTAGGTCAAGGTCAAAGGTCAAGGTCATTCAAAGTATGAAAAATTAAGCTCTTTTAATAACTCTTTTGTTCTTCACCAAATTCTTAACATCTTTGCATCTTTAATATGTACTCTTAAAACCATTTTAAAGATTTCAGTCTTGTCCCCTAGGATTGAATCCCCTAAAAGTTAGTGCATCTTTCAGTGTAAACCCTTGTTATCGCTACTCCTCCGAAACCGTAAACCGTAGAGGTACGAAACCTTCAACAATGTCTGCGACTAATTTAGTACACGTTTCATTACATAAGTGCGAAAGAATTCGTAAACCATTTTAAGCAGTTTTTGACACTGACAGTTTCTCATGTTTACGAAGAACTGAAAACTTCTTAACGACAAGTCGTAAAGACATGTGGACAATGCATGAGATCTTTCGACCTTTGACCTTGAGGATAAGGTCAAGGTCAAAGGTCAAGGTTATTGGGAAAGTATCCAAATTGCTTATAAACTTTTTTTTTTGGGAGGGGGGGTTTAAATGATCTTGACCCTTGATCTTTAGTCTTGATCCTAACTCAAATTTATTTCAATTTGATTTACATTTAATATCAATCGAATAATTAAAAAAAAAAAAAAAAAAGCGAATTTTCCTCTCAAATAAATTTCCACGCTCTCAGTGACACAGTTTTCTTCATGAAAAGCATGTTTCAAGTTTAATTTATGCTGATAACTATTAATACAATCCAAATAGAGATGATTATTTAATCTTACCTATGAGTTCACCATATCTGTCAAAACGAACGCGCCTATATTTTCATAAATAGTAAACACATTGCCGACACGGAAGTTCGAATGTATCATAAGCTCTGTATGATTAACTCAATCTATTCAAAGTATAAACAAACTCAAATGATTTTTTTAATAGGAATTCGGCATTTCCATTATACACCAATCGTGTTTCTCAGAACTATTCATTATTCCTCTCTATGTTCCATCACAAACAAATAAATACACGTGTTTCTGTACTATTTAAAAACGCACGTGTGTCTATTTTTGTTTAAATCCATGTGCTTTCAATTCGCCTGTCAATCTGAAGCTCCCGAGTTCGAATCCGGCGGGAGGCACATTTTATTTGGAATTTTTTTTTTTTTTTTCAACCCAAAGGACACGGGAACACTTAAAAAGGTGGAAAGACGTTTCATTGTTCTCTGAACAATTAGTTTACTAGTTGTAAATGGGTTGATTAAATAGAATCATAGACTGATTAATTGTGACTTTGGCGATGTAAATAAAACGAAGAATGAGAATAAATACAAGTTATCATTTTTTTTTACAGATAATATATTAAAGGGTTGCATCTCTCTCTCTCCCTCTCTCTCTCGCTCTCTCTCTCTCATTCACATATCGTTTTTACAGACTTTACAAAAATAGAATAACTTGATAAAATAAAGAAAAAAACTTACTAAAATAATTACTTAATACACTGAAAGGGTTATTGAAAACATAAATACTTGTCTGTACAAAGAATGTTTTCTCGCGAGAAAGCGCACGGAAGTTATTATATTGATTTCGTGTTTCTGCTGCTGATTTCGTATTTATTTTGTTTAACGTTTAAACGATAGATCTACATTTTTAAAAATAAAAAAACAATGTACACATCTAATAGCTAGGAATAAAAATGAAGCAGGAAAAATCAGTATTTATTTCTATAGAACAATCAATTAAAAATAATTTATATATGTGCGTAGCGTTATATGTATAGAACAAGTATATACCCGGTATATATTTATTCCTTTTAATTATGTTACAAGTTTATTTTAAAGTGAAAAAAATATTTCATTTTTTTTTCTTTTTAAAATGAAGGTTCAGCATACCTTAAAAAATAAGCACGGAAATATTTACGAGTTGTACATCTATACGTAATGCCAAAGACATCGGTGGGATGATGTTTTTTTCTTCCTTTCATTTTTTTTTTCATTTTTCCTCCATCACCGCTGTAATGTAAATTTATGTTTAAATTAAAACCGAGAAATTAATTTGTTTATAGCGGAAATATAATTATATACGTGCATTAAGTACTTCAAAAGTCATTTAAAATGAATTAATTTTTAGCAGCCAATCAAGAATTAAAGCTAACAGGCTCCGCCCACTTCATTTGCATACCGTTTCCCAAAGCGTACCGTTCACAAAACGAACCGTTCCGTCCACAAAGCGTACCGTTCCTTGCACAAAGCGAACCGTTTTGTGCACAAAGCGTACCGTTCCGTGCACAAAGTGAACCGTACCGTTCACAAAACGAACTGTTCCGTTCACAAAGCGTACCGTTCCGTGCACAGAGCGTACCGAACCGTACCGTTCAGGTCGTGTAGTAGCACGGTTTAGGGTCTGTACAATATCATATTTATTGAAGTCAGCTATTTATGACATTTTAAAATTATATTAATAAGACGAGTTTGTATCTTTACTTAACTCCAAGGAATCTAATCAAGATAGGTGTATGAGGTAGAGGATGTGGACATTGAGAAACAATGACGTCATGCAACAAAATGGCGACTGTGCCGGGTGAACAAATAATGTCTTTTCATTTTATAATGATAATTTGGAAAATATTAAAGGTATCAAGCCAAAATTTTCAACATTTTTCTAACTTTTGTTGTTTTATGTTCCTTAAAAATTTTGTAAGCATAAACTTCACAGTAATGCTTTTATCGCATCTGTCCTTGTACTTTTCGAACAACCCTCGTACTTGTGAAAAAAAAAAATAAGTTGAATCACACAAAGTAAAAAATTAAAAGTAATTTTAGATTAGAATTTCGGTTTTCATGTGGGCAGTGTTTACTTAATATTATCATAGATATATTACTTATTCGTTAAGAAATATTTCTTTTTAAAAACTTATATCAGATTAAACTTTGATGAATTTGCATTTTCTTAAAAGAGTTTTAAATCCTAGACACAACAGATTTTGACTATTTTGATCTTCGCCAAAACGAAATGTTAAAATGAAAAGTCAGAAATCTAAAAGAATCGACTGTGCAACAAATTTATTCAGTTCAAGAATTGTATATCCGTTGATAGTTTTAATCATAATATGTACAGTAAATCAGGAAAACGTGAAGAAATGTTACGTTTGAAATGCATTTTACTTCGCCTGCTTTTTTCCTTAATTCTAACAAAAAAATACCCGGTATAATGATTGATTGTATATTGTTTAACGTCGCTCTTGAGAATAATACTCGGTATAAAACTGTGCCTATAATAAGTCGGGGGTATATTAAAGTATTTATATGTTACACACATATTTCAAGCGTTTGTGCCATCAATTGTTCAGAAATACTGTAAAGTCTTTGATTTTCGTGGAATTTTAATATTCGTTGTTTTTAAGATAGGAAGAGATTCAGCTAAATAATTTTCTCATTGAAACATTCATTTCAAATATAAAACAAATCAACACGAATGATCAGACATGAAATCAAATCTCCATGATCTAAAATGTTTTCATCACTCACAAAAATAATATCGTCTCCATGAAAATATGATTTTACAATAATTCTATTGTCGTCTATTGTGAACATGACTGTATGTTTGTAAAACCTTGAAGAAAATATATTAACGAATTTTGGTGATTTAAAATGCTATACGTATGATTGGGAAAAAATGCATTGTATAACTGAGTTGATACGTATGATTGGGAAAAAATGCATTGTATAACTGAGTTGATAAAGTTCCATAATTTTAAAAATAAAATCAAGTAACAGCTGCAGAAAGGATGTTTTACACAAATTTCTACCAGAGGCCCCTAACGATTTTCTTTTTCTTCTGTCCGCAGTTCTCTTTAGCCTCTCTTTGGTCTCAACGCTTGATCTTGTGCCTCCAGTAGCTTGAAGTCTTTTCTTTCAAGGTTCACCTTCCCTGGGCGCAGTTCTCTTTTGCCTCTCTTTGGATACAACGCTTGATCTTGTGCCTCCAGTAGCTTGAAGTCTTTTCTTTCAAGGTTCACCTTCCCTGGGCGCAGTTCTCTTTTGCCTCTTTTGTCTGACCCAGGTCCCAACGATTTATCTTGTGCCTCCATGTCATCAAAATAACAGACTAAAAGCAAGACGGTCAATAGCAGTCCAAAACCACGCTTATCCTAAAAAAATAATTAAATCAGTGCCTCATTTTTATTTAAAAGTTAAGAATATAAAACTAAATTTTTTCACTTGAAAATATAATTTTGTTCAAAAAAGGATATTAAATGCGGTGCAGATTTATCGGAAGGGGATTGGTTTTAGTCTTTACTAAAAAAAACTATTAATGTTCGTTCCGGTTAACGACTTATATTTGCGTTATTTGTGTTGACAAGGTGAAACCTTTTACACAAAAGTACTGAATTTAGATCATTTTGGTTCTCTTGTGATGAGTCTTTTGTCAGATTATATTTCTTTAAAGCTTGGTGGGAAAAGAACTTAGATGGTAATGCTAATCATGAAAAGTCAAAAAATTTCAGTGCGCTGACCTCCGATATATAATACTCTTTCAATGTAATGAAATACCGTATAGGTAGAATTTTTAGCAAGGATTTAATTTTGCCATTATTAGCGATGGTGCTGACATCGCTAAAATTGAATATCGCTAAAAAATAACTGCGTATTATTTGTAATAGCTTCTTTGGTTAGCATTCAAAAGTCGCTATAATTACTTCTCGCTAAAAAAAAAAATACTAGATTTCAGGTAGAAATCGTTAAATTTGCTTCTCGCTAAAATTTCCACTTATACGGTATGAGATAACAAACTCTCACGATTTTGTCGGAATAAAAAAAATAATAAGCATAATTATTCTGGTCAGGTATTTTGTTATTCAAAATGTTTGCGGAACAACTCTCGTAATTATTGCTTTCATACAGTCTTTTGAATATAGGAGAAAAATCAAATTGTCTTTTGTTTTGTACCTCTTAACAAGTTTTGATTTTAATTAGACATTGGTTTTCAATATATAATAAATCATTTTTAAAAGGTTTAATGAATGATTTTTTAAAATGTTTTGTGAACATATAAGTTTAATTTAGTTCAGACTGAGCTTATAAGTTCCGACCAATAACAGCTTTTGTTTCATATCATCAATCTTGCTAGTTTAGATAGGGTCATAAGTACTTTGTACCACTTACGTATGTTGTAATCCGTAAGATTCATAATTCAGCCTAAATGACAATTTTGCCATTTACACAAATATTAGAAAATTTCTCCCACAGAATTGAAATAAAAAAATAATAATTACATTATGCATTTAAAAACGATAAGCTAGGGTGAATTCACCATGCATCGGATACCCTTGTACTTCAACACGTTCTAGCGATATCGCTACCGACGGAAAATTATCACAATGGAGCTTAACATTAAGTTTGAGATTAAAATATCAATTTAGGACACATTTATATGCCCTTTATTGAGAAAATATCCCCAAAAATCGAGTTTTTGGGAATACCTGAGAATTCACCATGGATCGGACATTGTTTACCATGCATCGGACAGACGGTATTTAGACCGGAAAAATATCATACCTTTATCACAGTGCTTTAAAATCCTTGAAATGAATATATTTTCATCTTTTATCTAAGAAATAAACCTCAACTTCAATTTAATTGACGATATTATTGCACAAATGAAGAATGATTCAAACAACCTCAATCTGCCTTAGAAATGCTGTAAAATATTTCGCGCCTTTTTCTCATGGTTTATCATACTCTGGTTTGTAGAAATAAACTGAGTCAAATTCCAGACGTCATATATCCATAACTTGTATTTTGACTGAAAATATAGAGTTTTTATTTTCTTATTCCGCAAAAAACAGCTGTCATCTGGGTTCTGTATGAAAATGGTAGTGCTTACCTTTGCATCGAAAAGTGTCCGATGCATGGTTTATTTGTGTCCGATGTACGGTGAAATTCGCATACTAGTAAAAACCAGCTCTAATAAGAATTAAACAAACATTGAAGTGAAATTTCTTTATAATTTATGTAGAATTACCGATCCCCGACAAAATTCACCAAAGTCCGACTCGTTCCGTGGAAGTCGAATTTAAAAGAACGATAACTCTAATAATTGCAAAATCATAAATTTCGGGTTATTTCCCTTTGATGATTTAAATTATGTCGTAACTTCAAGGCCATTTTCGAGGTATTTTTATCTCAACATGATAAACACAATCGGTATCAATAAAAAATTTAAATCTTCAACTTTAAGACAGAAACAATTAAATACACAGAACTCTTAAGTTAAAGGAGAGTTTATTGCCTAAAGTTGTCCGAAGCAAGGTATGTGTCCGATGCATGGTGAACTCACCCTACATGTAAATAATTTCAAAAAAGTAAATCAATAAACAGGTATTGAAATCTAAGCAAACTAACCTGAAGTTTCCTATCATCAAACGTAAAATATATTTTATCATTTATATGATTTGTAAGTATTTAAATTAACATATTGCAATTTATAAAACAAATAAAATAAAAGAATCTATTCTTTTTGTCAAAAGAGAAAAAAAAGTTTCGCGTTCTGAAATTTGAAACAGTCCTACATGTATCGTGAAGATCGTTTATCAGGCCAGTCGTCTTTTGCGTTCGCTGTGTTTTGCGTGTATCGTGTTTTGCTTTTATCGTATCTTGCGTGTATTCTATCGTATAGTTCATTTATCCTATCGTGTGTGTATCCTATCGTATCGTGCATGTATCCTATTGTATCGTTCGTTTATCCTATCGTATCGTTCGTTTATCCTATCATACCTTGCATGTATCCAATAGTATCGTGCTTTTATCCTACCATATCGTGCGTTTATTCTGTCATACCTTTTATGTATCCTATCGTATTGTGTATTGTGTGAAGAATAACGTTGCAGATACTGTTGTATAACGATATGAACGATTCAGGTATGTTTAAAATTTATAATTCAGGTAGGTCCGTACTTTCAAAATTTTTCGTCAAACTATAATTTTTTAATTTGAATACCTTGAATATGTCTAAAACCAACTAAAGCGTCCATAAAAGGCATATCTTTGCAGGTTAATTTTCATACAACATGTCTCAGAGCACATACCTCTAAAAATTCAACAGCCAAAACTCAAAATAATGAAGTGTGATATCATATTTTATTTAGTTATGCACCAAATCATATCAAATCTATGTTAAAACTTATGAAAATCAAAAATATTTATTTGCCAAGAGAATATTAGAAATATTTATAGCAAATCATTAACAAATTGATGTTGAATATGTCCATATATTTCAGAAATAAAATCTCATAATATCTTTATTTTTTGTAATTCTCAAAATTTAATTTGTTTAGATGCCATTTTTTCTTTAATACTATCAAGAACTATATATATAAATCTAACAAAAAGACATACTTTATTATTGTTGACCAGAATATTTTAACAAATGAGTCTTTTAAAGACGTATAGCCCCATTTTATTGAATATCAATTTTTCAATCATTCTTTGCAAAATTTTAAAAAGAATATAAGAGTTAAATGGATCATATAGACTAAAGATCTCAAGTTAGTTTGCTTAACAAAAATTAAAAGCTTAAGGCAATTAAGAATCCTGTGTCTGTGTATGTACCACATGACGTAAAGATCCAATGGACAGAGTGCAAAGTGTTGATTTCCATAAATAATGTATTTTAAATGTTTTGTATGTACAATAACACTATAATAAACAAATGTATACTTGCTAAATTATTTCAATCACCCAAAAAAGATTTTATTTCAATAGACAAGTGATAATCAAAATTCTATATTGATGTGTAAAATTAAAACCGGATCCGTAAAAGTATGGGCCTTCCCTAACTGATGCCCTGAAATTAAATTATGTTATATTCGATTTTATTTTTTTACATAAGTGTGAATAATTTAGACAAAAATAAAGTAAAAACGCTAACAAATATTGATTTCTTTCAAATAGGTCTTTCAAAATTGGAAAAAAATCCCTCGTAAAGGAAAATAAAACTTACAAATGCAACGCAACTTACCATTTCCCCTGTGTTATCTTACTGTCCCTTTCAGTGTCTCTTTTTCAAATGCAGTAATTTTAAATGCTTCATGGGTGAAGTATTTCTGCTTATATATGCATGATCAAAGTCCCTATGCACCAATAAAAACGAATCAATTTAAATATAAGTAAAGATAGTTATAATAATGGGCGTTTACTCATTCGGTTTTCTAATGGTCACCTTTTTACGAATAATGAATACATGTAATAATTTATGCAATATTTCAGTATAGAATTAATACGGTAAATATTTTAAGTAATGCTTATTATAAAGCATTTAACCATTTAGTTTCTCAAAAATTACCCAATGCCACGCAAAAGTCGAAGTGTTTCCCTCGGTACAATTCTTATTGGTGCATTCAGAATGGGTCCGGAATTTTAACCTCCCCGCTCCTTTTAAGGAGGATTATTTAGGATCCTGCAGATCTTTCTACTCTATAAATATTTATATAATATTTTACTTATTGATGAGAAAAAAACTATTTTAGCATATAGGTCACAATCCTTGGTGTTATTTGAAAGAGCTTAATTAGTGGTGTATGCATACCTAATATGAATTTCTATCTCTCAAGGTTCAAAAGTAATGGCGAAGGATAAAATTGACAACAGATAGACAAACAGACAGAAAGGACAAAAACTATTTACGCCACGAATATATCAATTCGGGCACGTAATAATTATTATTGTTTTCAGTTTGGTTTTCTCAATTGGTGATTCGTTATTTCAAGGTGGTTTTATAAAACGTCAAAATTTATACTTTTTTTTATACAATATTTTTTCTACTTTCAATGTAATTTGTATTTAGAATAGGATTTATATATATACTACTAGTATGCTCATCCTGTACGTAAAGTATGGTTACGATAAACTCATTCTTAAAACTCTTGATTGAAACTACATGTAGATGGTTTGAAATACATTTTATTTAACAATTATGGGGAATTCACACAGTGACTATAATCGAAAAAAATTCTCCATTTAATTAACTTAAATTTCACTATACGAGGATTATCACAAAGTTCGTAGACTGATGCGATTACATTAATACTTTGTAGTCTGTATCTGTAGAATTTATTACGAACATTAGCAACAAAAGTTTAAGATGAGTTGAAAATTTAAGTTTTAAACATATGCATGTAGGTTGATAATTTGCTAAATAATCATTCAATAAAAAGCTATATAGCAATAAAAACTTAACTACCTTAAAATGATTAAAAATGTTCAATATCCCTTCATCCTACATTGATTACATTACAAATCCTTATGACGTCATCTGCTGGTTCAAACAAATGATTCTTTGGTTTGACATCACTGGACCATACCAGTATAATACTACTCTCAGAAGCTTTTATTTCACACGCAAAAACTACTTTCCTTAGAACCAGTTGTTGTCAATAGTTATTAAATGCATGGGGATATGTTCAATTTGAGAGTAATTTTTAAGTTAATTACTATATAGTCAGTCAATTAGTCAGGTGTAAATTTTACCTCTCTCATAACATTCAATTTTGTTAATAGAATAGAAAACTCTCAAAATTACCAAAAATATGTTGCCAAATTCATGTTTACAGTGTTTTCACCTCACTTAGCTATGACGTCTCAACCGCTCAACTATGACGTCACGAGCCTATGACTGTATTACAAAAAATCAGAGGCAAAGGAAAAATCAAAGATTTTTTTTTTTAAATGTAATAAACAGAAAATTCAATGTTTTGTAGTTGAAAATGGAATTTATTTCACTCGTGAGACAGGATTTTTTGATATTTTCACTCGTGCTTCGCACTCGTGAAAATATCAAAAATCCTGTCTCACTCGTGAAATAAATTCCATATTCAACAAAACATTGAATATCCTCTATGTATACCTGGACCGAATTTGGAATCTGACGTATACTTTACAGATCCTTTCCTTAACCATACTAACATTTATTGTATACCTAATGTGTATCACTTAATTTTACTGTTGATTTTACGCTATCGTGACGTCGTGATCGACTTTCCGGATCACCACACTGTTATTTTCTGAATCCATATCACCACTCTCTGTAACTGATGACGTAGTACGCAGAAACATGACGTTATTTTTCTTGCGCGTTAAAAAGTCATTGTTATTATGCTTTGTTTTACGGATAAATGCTATACAATTGATCTCTTAAGTTTTCTATTGCTAGTTGCTAAATTTTGCTAGTTATGACGGGGTATATAATAAATTTACCATTATAACAGTAACTTGATCCGAAGAGCCGTATAACGTCTCGTTGACAGGCGCGGATCATCAGATCAAACTCGACGCTTCGCGTCTTCGGATCAAGTTACTGTTATAATAATATATATAGATTACATGTATCTTTCTAGATTACATGTATCTTTCTAGGGATTGGTGCCATTAGACATGCTTAAAGCCCAAGTCACACTGTCACAATTTTAGATCACGGTAAGCTACGATTTAGGGATCCGTGAAAATTCTTAGACATCCGCAGTCAGTCCGTTATTTTTACTCCTGAGCGATCCGCGATTTTCCACGACTGCTTTGAACTGTTCAAAAAAGTCGTGGAAAACCGCGATGCAATTCCATTTCTTGTACGGCGGAGTTTCCCAGTACTGTATGCCTACCATCACCGTGTGACCACCGTACAGACTTCCGTGATGTTTCGGGGTCATCCGTGACACGTAGTTCTAAGGAAAACAACAAGTAAACAATACAGAGACTCACAAATAATGCGGAGAACCGTTTTCTTTCTTACGTTGTAATTACGGAAGCAGTAAGGGTTTTGACGTCTAATCACGTATTCTAATGGCAAATTTACGGTTGGATACGATATCTTACGATTTTTCAGTTATTTATTACACATTTTTGTCAACAATTGTCCTTGTCATTGTTACGGTACCGACCGGACACAACCTAACACCAGAGCGAACCCTGAGCGGACCCCGGGTTCGCTTCACGGGTTCGCTCGGGGTCCGCTTCGGGTTCGCTTTCAGAAATTTTGGGACCGCTCCGGGTGCGCTTTGGGTGCGCTCCGGGTTCGCTCCGCGTTCGCCCGGGGTCAGCTCTGGGTCCGCTAGAGCGAACCCGGTGTTCGCTTCCTGGGACCGCTTTACGCACTGATGCGTGAAGCGGACCCCGCTTTAATCTCACCGCCAGTAAGCCCCGCCCCTTGTATATTCCAATACAGTAATGGTATTGTGGATCGATCATTGTTGTTTATGCGACGATGCGGACATGTACACTGTACATGTAAACAGTGACATTATGGAGAACATTGATAAATTTTCTGACATTAAATTGTTTATTAGACGTAGATTTACATGTACATGAATAATTGATTTCCTTGATTTCTCTATCCCGAGAAATTCAAACTAATTTAACAACGGGTTATAAGGCATTTATTTTTTCGTAAGTTATAACGAGAAAACAAAAAAGAAGAGGAAGAAAAGAGTGTTGAATTTATTTTCAGTGTATCGAATGGTTTATAAGAAATTCAAACTGAATACCTTTTAAATTCAGGCTTTATATAGTTTAAAAATACATTTGTTATTCCTTACGTTTTGCTAAATCGTAGTTTGAATGTTTACTAAACACGTGAATTATCGTATCGCATCTATAAATTACATGTAACCTTTTGTACATCTGATATATTTAGACTTTATCATGTTTATTTATAGAAGTTAGACATTAAAAGTTCGTAATAAATATTTACCGGACATTTTCTAAAAAAAAAATTACACTGTATATTAGAGCTTTTTCAAGGTCAAAATTTTGGAGCGAGAATGATTTTTATCAGAATAAAGAAAAAGGCAAATAATAATTGTTCTCCCGACCCGATAAGAATATATAAATATATGCCCCCTATTTCACACACACATTGTCTTTAAAATATTCTAATTATTTAATTATTTTATTTATGATTTCTCAATTTACGTGTTACATTAAATTATTCAAAATTTACATCAAAATTATTGATCTTCTTAGTCTTCTTGGCAATGAAAAAATGCGTGTATATAAAAATCTTCCTTCTGGATGCACAGATTGAAGTCATTCCGCCCTAATGGTATTAACAAACTGCAATGAATTCACCAGAATGAACGTGAATTAGACCCAATTCCTGATGATACTTAACAAGATTTATTAATTCTTTCAACTTAGTGTAACTCTACAGTTAGTTTGCGTTACCATCTTTTGAACAACCCACATAACTATGCATTGCTAACGCCTTTATTAATTTTTTTTCCGATAACTAGTCCTAAAACATTTCAAAATTGATAATAGATTATAATTCATATGTTAAAATATCCCTTTTATATAATATTTCTCTGATTATTCTTTGTCAAGTATTGTTACGCATTTTGATAGAATGAAACAATGTACGATTTACTAAATGTCGTGATTAATTAGCGTAATTAATTCGTTCAATTATGTAAAACGCACTTCACCTGAGTATACCCCGATAAACCAAACGTACTTTATAGCGGTTCGGATTTCTTTCTTTATTTAATAGTAATTATATAAATTTCCAATTCAACTTTAGATGATGAAATTTTACAATAATTGTCGAAGATCAACTATATTTCTTTTTTCCGCTTTTTGTAAGTAAGAATTGTAATATCAATTAATTTCCATTTTTATGCATTGACTGATGTATTTACCCAATTTATTTAATTAATTGCTTTAATAAAAAAAGAAATTAAATATTATATATATATAAGATACAACCCGGAGAATTGAAATAAATAATTATTTACTAATATTTTAATTATCACAATAGATTAACACAGCACATTCACACGTTTTACTTGTATGTACAGTGCTTGGATTTATGTCGAATTAAATCAATACGTTCGATCTTATATCCCAATCGACAGATCAATATGCTATTTTGATTGGTTGATGCGCTGATTGGTTAATCGCTAATCCTGATTGACAGCTCTGTAAAAAAATACACAACCCGCGTTCGCTCTCTGGGACCGCTACTGAATTTGGGGTCCGCTCTCTGGGTCCGCTTCGGGTTCGCTCGGGGTCCGCTA